AGCTCAGAAAACCCAGGAAGCACACAAAGCCCATCCGTATTTTGCCTATTCTCCCAAACGTAGCTCCACGGCCAGCAGCAACCTGTGCTCTTCCTGATGCAAGGGGAACCCAGGGGACATGGTGCAAGGACTTAACCAGCAGGGTACTGCAGTGCATGGTGAGGACAGTGCCTTTTTCACTTTCCCTCGAGGTCTTCTGAGGACATCCAGGCAAAGGTCTTGGCTGGGGCGCGGCCGGTCCCTTGCCGCCCGCCCCGCCCACGGGTTGCTGCCACTGGGGGCCAGGTGGGTTTGACCACATGATTGTATGATTATCACCCTTGGTTAGACTATCGCTTTCTATTGTGGTCAGTGATTCTTACTTTTGTATTCCCAATAGTGGTAGTCCATTGTTTAAAAATAAAAGGTGAAAATGCTGAAAAAGAAATGATGTTCAATGCACACTGCAGCATGGATGGACCTCGAGGACATGATGAAATAAACCAGCTACAAAAGGACAAATCCTGAAGGACTCCATTTGTAGGAGGCCCCCAGAGTCCTTAGTCTCCCACAGAGACAGGAAGCAAGATGGGGGGTGCCTGAGGCTGGGAAGAGGGATGGGAATCCATGTTTGAGCAGGACAGAGTTTCAATTTGGGGGAATGAGGAAGTTCTGGAGGTGGCCTGGTGCTGGCTGCCCGACAGCCAGCATGAATGTACTTAAACGCCCAGGAACTGTGCACCTCCACACGGTTAAAATGATAGATTTTGTTAGGTATATTTTACCACCATTGAAAAATAAAAGTAAAGTTTGAAATACTGAGTTGGATTAAAGAAAAGTAGGAAGTAATCTCAGCACAGAAGGCCCTCTGATACAGAGCCCTGGGACTGCATCTGGGAAATGTCAGATTGTTGCCTCACAGCATGTGGGGCAGAGCAGACTCCGGAGCTGGCCCTCCCGAGTTCTAATCCCAGAGCTGCCACTGCTGTGTGACCTCTGGCCCAGGACCTCACCACTCTGAGCCTCAGTTTTCTCATCTGTAACATGGGAACACCAGTAGCTCATGCTTCCTAGAACTGCTGTGCGGACTCACTCTGTAGACATTTCTAAGAAGCTTGGAACAGAGCCTGTTACACAATCTGTGCTCCCTAAGTGTTTGTTAAATAAACAGACTTCCTCCCGGGGAAACACAGATAGGCAGCTGGCCTCGTCTGCCCCTGGGCCCCTCCACAGACTGTGCCCACAGAGGCAGAGGGTCCCACTCCATCCATGCAGCAGGGAGCAGCTGCTGGGGACTCTGTAAGGGAAGCAACCCCATCCCTCGCCTGCCTCGCCTCTCCACCCCACATCCACCGAGCTCCCGGCCACCTTGGCCACTGCCCTGCCCTAGTCCCTGCAGGTGCCTGGGTAGGATCTCTCCAGTCCTTTCCAGAGGAGCCTTCAAACAGCCCATGTGTCCACCAAGGAATAAATGCCTAAGCAAGCTATGGCACAGACACACCGTGCCTATGATGCAGCCATGAAAAGAAGCAAGCCCTCAAACACACAGGCGAGCAAGAAGTCAGGCACAGGAGACTCCATCTAGACCTAAGATCTAGAAAGGATGAATCGACAGGAAGAAAGAGCAGATTAGGAGTTGCCAGGATGGGGTCCAAGATAGTAGAGAGTGACTGATTTAAGTGACTGTCTTCCCGGTAGGTCAAGTGCTCTGGAACTAGACAGAAGTGGCTGCTGCTCATGCTAATGATGCGTTGATGAACTGCATGCTTTACAATTGGTAATGTTACATAATGTGAATCTCACTCCATAGTTTTTTGTTTGTTTGTTTGTTTTTTTCCGGTACCAGGAATTGAACTCACGACCTTGCCCTTGCCAGGCAGGCACTATGCCACTGAGCTAAATCCCAGCCCCAGACTCCATAATTTTTAATTAAAAAGAAAAAAGACTCCCAAGGCCAAACACCCACCACGATTGATGGCCACTTTCATCCCGGCCCAGGTACCCATTTCTCCACCTTTGTGTCTCCAGCCCCTTCTGCCCAAAACCCTTAAAGCCACCCACAATCTGAAAATTCCACCCACTCACTAGTCTCCAGGTCAGGGACCCTGTGTAGGCTCCCATCTGTACCCCCTGATACCCCCCACTCAGCAGACTGAAGAGAAAATAATGTCCTCTAGTCCCTTTGCTGCGCCAGGTCCTAGTCTGGAAGTTGGATTCTTGTTCTAGCTTCACAGGCACTGCTACCAAGGCCCATTCTACAGATGCACAACAGAGGTGCTCAGAGGTAAATTGCCCCACTTAGGAGCTGCCCTTCTCTGTTCAACTGCTGAGACCCTAGGCTTAATTCCTCTTCCAGATGTTTTGCCGGCCCCCAAATGCTGTGCCTCAGGTCCCTCAACCAGGGAAGGAAAGGGTCCTCCCCACAGCAGGTGATCAAAGAGCCAAGCTGAATGGAAAACAGATTCCCAGAGACCACGAGAAATCAGTATGTAAATGACCTGTGACCCTGAACGTGTTCTGAAGACAACTGACAGCGGGGGGCGGGGTACATGTAGCAGCTTGCGTGTCTCCTGGTTTATCTGAGGGTCCAGAAAAGGTCATGGACAAAGCAGGCAGTGCCCTGGGAGGCACACAAAGGGCTATGGCTGCGAGCAATGTCACTGCTAGCCACACTGCTAGTCACTGCTGGGCCCCACCGTGCTCCTGCCTTCAAACAGGATAGGCCTGAGTGCTTTGCTGGTGGCTCCATGCGTCCACTGCAAGCTCAGAGTCACTGCAGCCCCCAGAGTCTAAGACCAAAGATCCGGGGAATGCAGAGCCTGCCCCAGCTGGGTTCAGGGCTCACCCTGCAAAGCCAATTTTAAACCTGGGCTAAGCCCAGGGGCTGAGTGCTGACCCCAGCCTCACCAGAAACTGTCTTCTCTCCCTTCCTTGCAGCCTTGCCGAAAAGGGAAAGAATTTCCCATAATTATAAGCATTGTGCAGCTTGATTACTGTATTCTGGAATGATGGCCGTGTGTTATAATGACACACAGGCCGTCTCCCTGCACAGACCACTTTCCTGCTCTGCTGCTGACATAAATATCCTTCCAGCATGAGCAGGGGGCTTAAGACCATCGGGGCAGAGGGTCTGCAGCTGAGGGGTTCCTCAGCAAATAGACAGGGGGCTCTGCATGTTCCTTTCTCAGCCACCCTCCTGGTTCCAACCACATGGGCAGCCCAGCCTTCCCCAGCCTGGCGTCCTCCCCGCGTGATCACATTTACTAAAATAGCAGCAGAGATCAACCTTTTAAAAAATGAGCTGGTTCAGGTATTCACTAAAATATTTAAGGTCTGGGTCTGCGACCGGTGTTTTTGCATATGTTGGACATGGCTGAAGGGTTTTATCCCGGTACAACTTAATGGGACCAAGAAAATGAAAAGCAGAAAAAGTGGCTTCACTCTGAATGAATCAACATCAATTAATGGCTGCTTAACATATTTCTGCTAATAATAATGCATTCAATAATGTGCATTTTTAGGCTGGCTCAATATATAATGGCCCATCCCTGCCCCCAAAAGGTAAACAATGATGATTTAAAAATAGTCCCAGTATGTATTTACATTTTTTTTCCCCTGAGCCTTTTTGGTTTATAGTTCATCATTCCAAGGGTAAGAATTCTAAAATTTTCTCTGTGTATTTACACAACTGAGTTATTGCTATGTATCACATTAGCTATCAGACCCATCCAAGAAAAATGAGTTTTTATCTTGACCCCACCACAGCCAATGTCAGATGTTAAAGTCCTACAAAGTGAGTGTGACCCCTGGAGGGACCTGGGTGGCCCTGATCACACACTGCTTCCTGTGCCCTCCAGGGGCAGATGTGGGCTCACAGCACAAGTTCTCCCGCAAGCTCCCAGCCACAGTGAGTCAGGAACACCATCAGGTATCTGTCCCCTGACTCCTGAATCCGGACTTCCAGGGAGGATGGCAGCCCACTGCTCCTGTCCATGTGTATCACTTGGGTGGAGCCAAGAGGGGAACATTTCTTTGTGATTCTGCTGCTAGAATGTTCTATGCTCAGGGCAGTGCACCCGGCCTGGGGGAACAGAGAAGACTGCTCACCCTCCACACGTGTCCCCCCAGGGTGATCGGCTCCATCCCCACCAGGGCCCAGCAGAAGCCCTTAACATGGGTGTTAACTCAGTGGGCAGCCCCAGGGTCGCTGGCACCAGCCCAGCTCCTCTCTGAGGGCATAGCAACTGTAAGATGACCTTCCCAAAGGCCAGGTTGGCTGTCCCATCCACCTCCCCTCCTGCAGCCAGGGAGCAGCCTAACGTTTTGTTTAAGTAATCCTCCTCGGGATTTACGGTATTTATTTGGAGATGTCAGGAGTGTGAGGTTTGCAGATACCCAGGCGGCGCCTCCACCACGCTCTCGCTCGCTCTTGGGTGCCTGCATCCTCCTGTCTCTGGCTTCCCGCCCTGAGCGCTGTGCAGGCGGCAGCATGTGGCCTAGGAGTGGACAGGAGGAAGGGCCCAGGGTGCCGGCCAGAGTCCCCACGTCAAATTACCCCAGCCTCCGTTAATTAGAATCTTCAAACAGCAAGATATTTCTCCCACTTTGGGGCAGTTCTCCCTTTATCCAGACTCCTAAATTCTGCTGGGGCTCGGGGCTGGAGCATGTGCCAAAGATCCCTGGATTCAATTTCAGGCCCCCACTGACCTTTGACCGCCAGCTCTCTTTCCCCTCCCTGGGCTTCAGCCTCCTCCTCTGGCAAACTGGCAGGGTCCTGCAGCCCAGGGAAGAGAATCCGGAACCAGGGACCTCTGCTGAGCCTCTCCCTGCCAGGTTGAGCCCGGCTGTCAGGGCCGGCTTGGGGGCCCCCTTAGTGGGCGCCCCTTCCCTGGAGCCTGGCTGCAGGCGCGCCCCGAGCCACCGCTCAGGGCCCCATGGCCTGCCTGGACTGATAAAACCGTCCGGGAGAATTGCCCCCGCGCAGCAGGAGGCTGGGGGCGGGCCGGGACCCGCGGGCCAGGCGCAGAGGCTGCAGTCGCCAGAGTCCCGAGCCGCTTGCTCAGCGTCCGGTGGCCACGGGGCAGTCGCTCTACCCGCGGGGCGGGGCGAGGGCGGCGCCAGCAGGTAACCCCGGGGGGGCGGGTAGGCCCGCCCGGGACCCCCGGACCAAAAAGCAGAGGGGGAGGAGCAGACGGCGGTGCGCGAGGGCGGCCAAGTTTGCCTCGGCCGCGCGCGCGGCTTTGCATCCTGCCTCTGGGGAGAAGTCGGGGGGACTGGTCCCTCCGAGCTGGGCTTGGACTTGAGCCTTCAGCCGCTGCAGACTTCCAGGTGTGACTTCGTCATCCCCTGTCCCGAACCCCGTGTGTCCAGGACGCACCGGAGCCGGGGAGCGACCCGCACCATGCTGGAAGGAGACATTGGCCTGGAGGGGCTGTCCCCCAAGGAAGCCCCTGCAGCCCGTGAGTATCCCGAGCGGCGCTGGGAGGGGGATGCGGAGGACCCAAGTGCGCTACCTCGGCGTCTGGGACGCCGCAGGACAGCGGCTTCCCTGGGACTAAAGGGCGCACCAGGAGCGGGGCCAGGGCCACCCCCTCCCCGTCTCCAGTGACGAGGACCGTCCCGGCGCTGCTCCCCAGTGAAGACGAGAGGGAAGGGACCGCGTGGGACCCAGGTTGCGGGGCTCCGACAGACGACAGAGGGACGGCAGACAGAGCGACCCAGCGGGGCTGGGCTGGGCTGGGCTGGGGCTGGGGGCGGCGCGGGGAGGGCCCCGCGCCAGGGGGCAGCGTCCGCCAGGCGGGCGGGCTGTTTCCAATCCCGGGGGAGCGTCCGCAGTCGGGCTGCATCCACGGCTCAGGCGGATGCTAGGTTTTTCGGATGTTTTTACAGGCGCTATTAATACACATAATATTTCCGTGCTATTCTGAAGATTTATTTGCGATATAAAGTAACTACTGGGACTCGAAGGCATAGTGGGAGCTGTCCTGGAGCTTGCACGGGCAGAGACAGATGAGGCTTGGCTGCAGGAGGGGGAGTCCCTGGCTTCCTCCACCAGCCCTGCGCATAAATCACGACCCTGGATATTTTTATACCAATAATTTTAAAATAAATGACCCAAGCAATGTTTCCTGGATGGTCTTCCCTTCCCAGTTCAGAGGTTATTAAATGAACCGCAGAATGGGGTGGTGGTGGGGGGCTCCAGCATGCAGCGGGTTTTATTTAGTGACACCATGGAGCGTGCCCTACTGAGCCTGGGTGAGGAGTGTGTGCCCTGCAATCAGAGTGCCACCGCAGCCCTGCGCTGCTAACTTTAGCACGGGAAGTCCTCCTTTTCTTCTTTCTCCGCCTCCCTCCTGGGTTTTTGGACTCCTATAGAGAAACTTGTTCTGACGTGTACTCCTTAAACAACCCAGTTTGGCTTCTTTCTCTAAGTGACACTGTATACTCCCTCAGTTAAAGGAGAGAGAGAGAGAGAGAGAGAGAGAGAGAGAGAGAGAGAGAGAGAGAGAGATGCTGCCGTTCAGAGAGGGGAGGCGAGACATAGGGGTGTGCTGGGTTGTGGCCAGGTTGCCCTGCTTTCCTGAGCAGGATACTTCAGCTCAAGGTAAAAGCACCCCAGGGCGTCTGGAACCTGCTGAACACATGAGCTCCGTGCTCACTGTGCGTAGACTTTGGCTGAATCTGGGTACTGCTGGGCTTTATACACATGTGCTGAGGACCGCCCTGTACAGTGGCTGAGTAACCATGCCTATCACACAAAGAAACTGAGGCCATGCAGAGTAACACTGGCACCAAGACCAGAGCCAGGATGCCTGCATCCAGCTCCTGTGAGGTTCTTGGCGCTATTTCATCCCCCCTCCCCCAAGACACACAGAATCCCCCAGTGATAAGGCTGCGGCATCTCAGGGAGCTGTTTCCTGTGCCGATGGTGTGCTGCAAGGGCCCGAACTCTGGTTTTTCCAGGCCTTAGATTGGGGCCCAGGCTTTGTTTCAGATGTGGGGAATCCAGAGCCTTCCTCAATGGAGGACTAACGGGACAGATCTGCATGGTCCTCTTGGGCAGATGATCCCCAGTCTTCCCTCCTGGAGGGCAGACCCTTCCGCTCCTTCCCTTGCATCTTGGCTGGGCAGTGGACTGGCTGGTGGGAAGGGCTCTTGCCCTCTTTCCCTGCTCTGGGCATCACCAGTGTCAGGAGTAGGGTCCCAGTGCACCATCCCACTTCAGCAGACCCTGCAGGGGCCAGGAGTTGCAACCTGCAGCTCTTTTGATGTGATTAAAGCCAGAAGCTGTGACATTTGTAGGTTAATAGGAGGAAAGTCACAGAATTGTAGGACAGAGGTCTGGGAGGAGAAGGTCACTTTGCCCCAGTTTGGGCATCAAGGCACTGAGAGGGGAAGCAGTTTCCATGTAGTGCAGCTGTGGAGAGCCTGGATCCTAAAGCTGACTTCTGGTCCAGAATCCCAGCTTTGCTGCCTGTAGCTGTGTGACCTTGACCCACTTACTTACCCACTCTGTGCATTACCTATAAAACCCTGAGGTGATTTGTTGTGAAGATAACTTGACTCGGTACCTTTTCTGCCATGCCTGGCTCTGTTCTGAGAGCACCTGTCATACAACCCAGTGTGACGTCACCCCCGACACTCTGCTGCCTGTCCTAGCACCAGCCCCTTCTCCATTCCCCGCAGCGTGCCATGGCAGGGTGCAATGCTTTGTTGAACGCCACCCCCCATGCTGCCTTCTTCAGCATCTCCCTTGTTATTTATTAATCAGCTGCTTATCCATAAAGTCATTGTCTGCACTTCCCACAGGGCTGGTGAAGGTAGGGCAGTGTCTTCAGCGCCCCCCACTGTGTGGGCCTGCCCAGCTCCTTTCTCATCCCGTGAAGGCACTCGCCTGACTTCTGTTCTCTCTCAACCCACTGATGGCCCCCAGTCACAGAGGGAGAAGGAGGGAAGGGAATGCAGCCAGCTGAGCAGGGTGGTGTGTACGGCCAGCAGGGCCTGGCCTGCACCTGCCTGGCCACCCTCCTCCACTTGTGCAAGAGGAAAGTGAGGCAAGATCCCCTCCTTGAGGTCACACTGCTGCTAAATGGCCCGGGCAGGATCTGAACTCCAGGCAGGGTGCTATGCATTTGTCCCTGTGCCATTGGCCCACCCTGGGCAATGCCAAGAGCTCTCCTTCCTGAAACTCATCCATCCTCATTAAAGAGCGACCCAGTGCCTGCAGTGGCCTGATGCTGTGTTCTTGGTCCTGGGCACACAGTGAGGGACAGAGCAGACCAAGTCCCCTGGACTGTCCATAAAACATCTAGCATGTTGGCTGGTGATGTCCCAAGGTGACAGGAAAGTAGAGCAGGAAAGAAGCAGGCTGCAGGTGGGGTGCTCATTGAGCAGAGGCATGAGTCCCACCCGGGCAGGAGCAGGGACAAGCATGCCCGGCAGAGGGAACAAGGAGTGCAGTCGTGTGATACCTGGAGCTCCAGGAACAAACAGTGCGTTCCAGGACCAGCCAGGGCAGTGGGGGAGGGCAACAGGGGGAGGAGGGGAGCGTAGGAGGGGACGCGGTGTGAGGGGTCTCTGGCCGCTGCAGGGATAGGGCTGCAAAGGCCTGGAGCAGGCGAGGGACCTGCTTGCCTGGTTTGGGTGGGGTCCCTGCTTGCTCTGCAGAGAGCAGGCTCCCACCCTACTCCAGATTCGCCACCCTGGGGTCACAGGGGAAGAGACGCTGCAGGTCAGACGATGCTGGCATCGCTGACCCCCCAGATGTGGGGTTCTGAGAGCAAGAGAGGAGTGGACAGCCACAAGCTGTGGGGACTGAACAGATGAAGGAGGAAAGGTCCCTGAGGCGAAGGAGAGTCGGGGTAGAGGACAGGGTTGCTTTTTGTTCTTTGATATTTTAAAAAGTTGTGATCAAGTATGTGACACACCATTTCATCATTTTCGTGTCAGTGTCAGTGGCGTTAGTGAAACTCCCTGTGTTGTACAACCACCACATCACAGTCTATTTCTGAAACTTTTTCCTCACCCCACATAGAAAGTCTGTGCCACTCAACAGGGACGCGCTCTTCCCTACCCCGCGCCCCGCCCCAGGGAGCTCAGCCCCTTCTCCCACAACAGCTCGCGTCCTCCGGCGTCCTCACATCAGTGGTGTCCTACACACCTGCCCCGTGCCTGCTACATTTCACTTAACATGTTTCCCAGCTTGCTCCACATTGCAGTGGCTCCACATTGTCAGTCCTTCACTCGTGTGATGGCTGAATAATATTCCCTTGTCTCACTAATGTCTCCAGCCCTAGTGCGGCAGGGCTCAATGAAAGCTGACACTGCCAGTTCCCTTCCGTTCCAGGTACTGTTGAGTTGCAGACCTTTGCTTAAATCACTTCCTTTAACATTCACTTGCTAAGTCCGTAATGTTAGCAGCCCCCTTTTGACAAACATGGCAACTGAGGCACAGAGAAAGCAAGGAATGTGCCCAAGCATACACAGCCAAGGGTGCTCTGTGAATCCATCCAGAAGGACCTGGCTGGCCCAGCCAGGCAGAAGGCTATGGGACTCAGACTGTACTCCTGGCTCCACGCAAGGCACACGGCCCAGCTGCTGCCCCCCAGCTCTCCAGGGAGAAGGTGGCTCTCTGATTGCTTGGCTGCTGCCGGGAGCCACAGCCAAGAGGCCCGTGTGGGTTGTGCGAGCTACATCTGTCCCACGCCTGTCTCTGCCTGGCACTGCTCGCCACTCAACCTCAGTCACAGCCCGCCGCCTTCAGCACCCAGCACACGTGCCAGGGTGTTCACACCGTGTAATGAAGCATTAAAAGCCCTGCCAGTCCCCAGAGAGCCCTTTGACAATGGTCACATGGCCATTAGGTAGACAAATTACTAGTTTCGTCTATTCGGCCCTTGGAGGGAACCCGCCTGTACAGTAGCTGCCTAGCCTGGTAATTTCAGCTGCCCTTTTTTTCCTGGCAGCCCATGGGGACAATTGCTGCCTCTGAGCCTTTCACACTGATCCAGCTGGGCTCCCCGTTCCCACGCACAGCACAGCCCACGAGGCCCCGACAAACGTGGGCCCCAACCCTCGGGGCTGGCGGCCACCTCCTGAGAACACTTCCTATCTATCTCTACCTCGCCTGTTGGCCTCTGGGTGTGGTGAGCAAACAGTCCCCTGACACCCAAGGTTTAATCCTCTCTCTTTCACACCCGGCTGGAACAACTTCTGCCCACATATGGCCTCTGGTGTGTAATGATTTTGTTAATGCATTTGCATGGCACTTCAAGTTGAAAGGCTGAATGTGCAGTTTGTCGTGGAAACGGAGCTATTGATGTGAGCTATTAGAAGAGAAGAGGAATCAGGGATCATTTTTATTGTGCTGTGTTTCCTGGGCAGTGAGCAGCCACAGATAGAGCAGATCAAGAGCTCAGGGTGAAGGGGAGCAGCAAGGGGGCACGGCGCGTACGGGGGG